CATGAACACAGCTTGCCCCACTGATCCCTGATCCCCATCCAGACCCCCTCACCCTCTCTGAGCCTGTTTGCCCCTCTGATTCCCCCAGCCTCCTGTGGTAGCCCTCCCCACCCCATCCCAACTTACATTAGATTGGGTGGGCATTTTAACTCAATCTAACCTCTCCTCTAACTTCACCAAATGTCTGTATGCAGACATAGTTATAATCTCTGCCCAAGATCACAAAAATCAGTGGTAAAGAAACAGTGGAACTCAGACCTTCATATTTCCTGTCTAGTGCCCCAAATATTAGGTCAACCATCTCTTAAGTAAAGTATTAGCAGGTATTATCTTTATTATTATCATCACCTCATTTAATCCTTTGTGTGACAATAATACATCAATCCTTACCTTGGTGTCATTATTACACTGTGGTTTTCTGCTTCAGTGATTTTTACAAATGAATCACCTCCAATGGATGACTTGGTTGATGATGTATTCACATTCCTATGAAGCAAAAAATAACATAAAATAAGATTTTCAGATGTTTGTTCTGTTTCTCTAAATGAAAATTGTTTCAGAAACAATTATGTCACTAGCATGTATTTCCTGAAATACTAGGCACATCTACACATGAATTTATGCATGCTTAAACTTAATACGCCTTAACCTAAGGTGTGTGTCTACATGTGGATGCCTTAAGGCACCTTAACTTGACTTTGCAGCCTGCCCTAGTCAGCACCCTGGACAGCTCCCCTTATGGTCAACTCTAATCTGCTCCCCTGTTCCTTCTTTCCCAGCAGATGAGAGCAGCGCTGCCAAGAAGTAAAAGTGGCAGGTGCTTTTGCAGCCACTAGCATGTCTCCCACCCTGAGGCAGAGGCACGGGGTTGCAAGTGCCCAGCTTCCCAGCTGACAGGATACTCCTGGGCGTTCTGCTTGGCTGTCTCAGGTGGGAGCCCCAGCACTGGCTTCTAAGGGTGCCTGAATCCTGTGTGGAAAGCAAGGAATCCTGCCACTGCAGGGGCGGCATTGCCCAGACAGCAACCCCATGCATTTGACTTGGGGCAGGAGATGCTAGCAGCTGCAAAAGCACCCAAAACTTCTACTTCCCGGTGTTGTCAGGTGGCAGTGTGTGGCCCCCCAGACTCAGCTGTGGCCAGCACAGCTGACATAGTGTTAAAGCGCCGTACCATGTCTACATATGGATTATGGTGAGTTAACTAATCAGGCCTAAATTTGATGCTTGCTTTATGCAGGTATCAAATTTAGTGCTAAATCACCCTAAGTTGCCATATTTAAGGCAAATTAAGGATGGGCATGTGTAGACTCATCTTTAATATGTCTTAAATATGGCAACTAATGCAACATTAATGGTCTTACTTCACCTTATGGGTGCACGGTTAGACATGCCCACTGTCTTTTTATATTTGGTCCTGTTTCTAGTTGCATGCACATTCAAACACCAGACAGTTCTCTTTTAATTGCCTAAAAATGAAATTCACGATTGAAATACACCTGTCCTATGGGCCATTTTTTCTATCCAGTTCTTTTTTTCTCAGGCTGTCTTCCTATAGTGACACACTATACACTTTAAAAATTGTATTCTATCAGTTATTTGGCCTTCCAGGCAGTCACAGGAGGCTAAGAGTCATGGCAAGATATACTGAATCAAATTCTGCCCTGAACTGCAGATGGTACATTCTCCCTGCTTGACTCATAAAAGATGCCAAAGTGCCACAAAGCAACTCCACTGAGTTTTTGCTTGTTTTCATTAGTGAACACAGCCTGTTTTTACCAATATAAATTATGACCCGTTGAAGTTATGAGTCTGGGCATTCATTTACATTATTGAGCTATATCCTATTTGGCCTTTTAGATCACAATACCTTGAAACACTTATTTTTAATTAGATTGGTTTAAGAGATTCTGCAATAGGACATATTCTGTCATTTCTCCAATGGTCACAAAATATGCACCAAAGACATTTTTAATACCTACTCTACTTCTCAAAGTAAGTCAGGTAGAGATGCCTATTCCCCCTCTCACTTTTCTGGCTTACAGGTGCCAAACCTGTAGATTATTCCCCTCAATTTTTCTCTAGTTCCTATGTTAAACAAATACTTTCTTCATTAGCTGAAATCAAGTTTAATCCAATTTTTTGAGGCAGAATTCAATTCTTTTTCTTGATTTAATGGATATTATAACAAGTTAGTTGACTGCATATTCTTTAGATTATCTTATTGGATTATCTTATTGGAACATATATACATATTTTGCTGATTTCAAAAACCTAGAAATGTATATGAAACCAGGCACATCCTGATCCATAGTCTGTTGAACATCCACTGATGCATTAAAAAGTAATTATGGCATACTATTTTATTTCATTAGTCCTAAAAAAAGATAAGAAAACAACTGGCTTTCTTGGAAATTTGCTGCTCTACTAATGTTTCACTGTGTAGATTCAGGACCTCATTTTCTCAGCTTCTTTAAATTCATTGATTCAAGATGAATGAACATATCTAGAACAGACAAGATGTAGATCATGTGTGCTCAGAAAGTTTTCATAGTATTCTTTGGAAGAAATTCTTTTATTGTGTTCTTGAGCTCTGATCAGTACTCAGAAACTCCAGGCAATTCTTTAAATAAAGAAGAAAAGCCATAATTATGTTGAATTATGACTGCTTTTATATTCTACTTTTTAAATATAATTCATTAATATAATGGACCACATCCAGATGTAAGCAGTCTTTTGGAAGTTTCTAAAATTGTGACTACATGCTTACCTATTGAAGAAAGTGTTCAGGGTTAGCGTGGGACTGAGTGGGGGGAGGGGGCTCTCTTATTTAATTCTCTGCTTTTCTGGCACAGGCTTGATGTGCAATTTTGGAAAAATCAGTTAAGATATCTCTATATGACTTCCCTCTTGATCCTGGGTCTGCCCAATCCACTCACTTCTCAGGGGGCACTAGAGTACAAACTTGTAGGTAGAGTAGACTGGTCAGTAGTATCCCTGAAAAGTCTGGAACAACTTCAGCATCCATCCTCTCCTCCCTCTCATGAGGCAGCTGCTCTTAAGCTCTACTGAGGCTACTTGCTGGTCTTAAACTCTTCAGACTATTTCTGGTCTCTGATTTTGGTTTTGGTTTTTTGTTGCAAGACCCAGAGTTGGAAAGAAAGTAGCATAGACATAATTCTAACTTTTCTGTGCCTGTAGGTGTGTCTACATGAGATGCTTTACTGCATAGTGGGCTAATGTACTGTGCAGTAAAATATCACTAAGTAACAGTACTAATAAGATACTATGATGTACATTAGTCTACTTTGCAGTTAGTTGAGTAGATACTGTGCAGTAGGACTTGTGCAGATGCTCACTGGGAACAAATCTGCTCCAGGTCAGCCACACCAGCAGGTATCCTGGCCCTGGCACTGGTCAGCTCCTAGCTTGCACAGGAACTAGGAGCCAATCAGGACAGCAACCAGGTCCATCTTTGCTCCCTCCCATCCCAGCATTGTGGGGTTCCTGGCTTCCCACAGGGAGCTGAGCAGCACTGAGACCAGAGATCTATCAGTGGGGCAGCTAGCAGTAAGCCCCCATCTGGGCGGGGAATCACTACTCAGCCAGAGATGGCAAGGAGCTGTCCCATCAAAGGGCCAGCTAGCAGTGAGCCCCTGCCCAGTGGGGAATGCAAACTCAACTGGGGGTACTTTGCTAGCTGCCCCACTGGTGGAACAAGGCAGGGAGCTGGGAAACAGCTTGGGGGTGGGTGGGAGGGCAGAATCGGATCACAGGGCTGGGAAACAGCTGGGAGGGGGAGGAATAGGTCCCAGAGGAGTCTTTGTGGAGCTGGAAGCTGGCTGGGATCTGCCCCAGATGGGGAAGCTCTGCAGCAGCAGCTCTCCTGCCCTGTGCACATCAGGATCCCTCCCATTTTGTATTAGGCCAGGAGACAGCTGTCTCTTGGCCCTGTCCTCCCTGCCATCCCCTGGGTCAGCAGCCATGGGGAGTCTAGAGCTCCCCCTGGCTGCTGCAGGTTTAAATTGGCTTCCAGTCACTTAAACCAGTTTGTGTAATGTGTCTTGGGGAATAAGCAGGAGGAGCTCGTCCTCCTGCTTAATGCAAATAATTATGATGTCATAGGGATAACGGAGACCTGGTGGGACTCCACCCATGATTGGACCATGGGTATAGATGGCTATACCCTGTACAGGAGGGATTGTGTAGATAAAAGAGGCAGGGGTGTAGCTCTCTATGTTAAGGAAAGCTATGCATCCCTGCAAGTTAATATTGGCAACCAGGGCAGATGACTGGAGACCCTCTGGGTTAAAATCCATGGGGAACACAGCACAGGGGACACAACGGTGGGAGCCTACTACAGACCTCCCACCCAAAGTCAAGAGCTTGACCAGGAGTTCACCCGGGAACTGGCTGAGGCCACATGCTCCAGGACCATGGTTATTCTGGGTGACTTCAATTACCCAGACATCTTGTGGGAGGATCATGCAGCAAAATTCCGAGCAGTCTCAAAACTTCCTCTTGTGTGTAGATGACCTCTACCTGACTCAAGAAGTCTATGGGCCAACGAGAGGTAAAGTGCTGCTCGACCTGGTACTGGCTACTGGGGATGACCTAATTGGCAATCTACTGATTGGTGAGAAGCTGGGTGACAGCGATCACGAGCTGATCACTTTCACCATCTGCCATAAAGCAAGTCAGTCAGCAACACAGAAGTCCTTGACTTCAGGAAAGCCGACTTTGACAAGCTCAGGAGGCTTGTCAGTGAGGCCCTAATGGACCACGACCCCAGGGAGAGGGGAGTTCAAGAAGAGTGTTTGTTCCTCAAGGGAGCAATCCTCACTGCAAAAGCTAATTTTATTCCATCTTGGAAGAAAGGCAGCAAGAGGGCACAGCAGCTCCCCTGTCTTTCCAGGAATCTAGCAGACCTCCTGAGGCTAAAAAGAAAGGCCTACAAAGGATGGAGGATGGGATTCACCTCCAAGGAGGATTATTCTGCACTGGTCCAGTCCTGCAGGGAGCAAATCAGGAAAGCCAAGGCTGCAACGGAACTCCAACTAGTTTTGAGCATCAAGGACAATAAAAAGTTCTTTTTCAGATATGTGGGGAGCCGGAGGAAAAGCAAGGGCAACATTGGACCACTGCTGAACCAGATACAATTGTATGGGGCAACTGACAACTGAAACATGGGAAAAAGCCAACCTATTAAATGGGTACTTTGCGTTGGTCTTTAATCAGTCCCATGGGACACCCACGCCTGCTACAGATCAGGGAGGTCAGGGTGAGGGAGATCCCCTGCCCTCCATAAATGCTGACCTTGTGCAGGAACACCTTGAGAAGCTGCATACCTTCAAGTCAGCCGGCCTTGACAATCTACACCCCAGGGTACTCAAGGAGCTGGCGAGCATCATAGCCCAGCC